GGGATTGCTGAGATTATCTCTGTCAAGCACTTGGACAGCATGCAGTCAAATGATGCATCATGCAGTTATTTTCGGGGGGGAAAAATCAATTTCTTCACCAGGTCGCTATTTGCTTTTCAAAGTGCCCTTGTAGGCCTTCACCACCAAGCATTTATCAATTTAAATGTTGTAAATTGATAATGTGCCACCATGCCTTGTTCTGTTTCTGAATTATTTTGATACTTATATTTTCTTTCTGCTCTCAACATCCACAGAGCTACTTTATTTCAAGAGTTCCTCCCTTGCTTACCTTCCTCCTTTACTATAAAAGATGAAAGTAAATGAACTTTCTTATGTTTAATATTAAAAGAAATAATAACTTCCTTAAAAAACACATTAACGAAAATTTCCCAGGCTTTAATAATTTTTAAAGAGGTCAAACTATTCCATGCTAGTGCGCCAGTTTACTAGATCAGCTGAGATTATCTTTTCATATAGTATTTTTATAAATTCAGAACGAAATCCAAAAAGAAAAAGAAAAACAAAACAAAACAAAAAACTTCTCTCTTTGCTATTGTTGGGATTTGCTTTAAAAAAATGAAGAAATGTAATTTTGCTGTGAATTTCCTGGTGTTTTATTTGATTTTTAAAATTATTACTTAGATAATGGCACAGTGGGAAATTGGGGTAAAACTTACAGAACAGGTGCAAGTTTTGCTTTATATTACTTTTAAGCAAACAGCACAAAGCAATCCTTTAACCATCTACTAGCCTCAAGTTGATTTGCATTGAAAAACAGGTAGAGCAGAGTAGTTGAGGTTTATGCTTCGTAAAAGCAAAAGAAATACGCGGCTGTTGCAAAGCATTCTTAACCTCCAGTGATTTATTGGCCCTCAGCCAAGTTATCAGGGGAATCTAATTCTTCTTTATTATTCAAATAAACCACATTTGGCACCATGGTTCCTTTTCAGAATAGCTTCACAAATAGACTGAGTACTGTCATTTATTTGACCTTGTACTTGTGTGCTGTAGCTATAATTTTATTTGCCATTTCATAGAACAAATGCATAGAAAGCCAAAGTAAGGAGGTAGGTTATGCTATTAGTAACACACTACACATACAATATACTGGTTGGCTTTGCTTGCTCTGTTTTAAAAATTACAAAATCTCAACAATTTTCTTCTTTTATTTTTTTTCTTTACCTCTATTATCTTTTATTATTTCTGCAGCTGCACTGCTCCTTTTTAATGAGCTTTCTCTGCAATAGGCCAATTTATAATCCCGGTCCGTGTTCTGGACAAGCTGTAGCAAAGGTGTGAAATATTTTACTTTCAGGTGTGGGCCTCACAGAAGGAAAGTAATGCATAATATCCTTGTTGAGTACAACTGTTAGTGAGAGATGATCAAGAATTTCTTTCCTGAAAAGTATTCTACCAAGCTTATCAGTCCATAATATTTTATATTGACCCTGAAACCTCACACCTCTATTAATTTTATCCCTTGTTCCAGATGGACTTTTCTCCCCATTTTGTGCTACTTGCATCAGCATATTTTTGTACTAAGTCTCAAATTCAACAATTTTGCAAAAGAATTGAAATCTGATAGTATCTATACTGACTTCCAAGTGCCCCATTCCATTTCCTAAAGGAAATCTAGGTCCTAACTTGAAAATGGTTGAGAACAGACATAGGCAAAGCAATTTTGCAACACTACAGAGGTACAGTGTAACAAGAACTGTTTGCCTTGGCACAAAGGGAAAGTACACCATGCAGTCCAACAGAAGAATGATTGCTATACCACGCGGTTCTAGACATGTCTGTCTTTTCCAACATGTACTGCAGATCCTGGAACTACTGAATGCTTAAAAGTATGTTGGAGTATTCCAGCTCGCCCCAGCTGTATCTGGGCTATCACTATTTATATAAACTAAGGATATAACACAGAGATTTTGGTCTCTTTCTGTTTCTTTTATTCTATTTCTTTTTCAGTCTTTATTTTGATCTAACACTGTCTTTCTCTATACTTCAGCATGTCCACATCCTCTGAAATTGCTCTGATTACAATTCCACAGCAAACTGCCATACCAAAATCCATGTCTGCCAAGTTAGCTTGAAATTCTTGGTTGACATTAGCTGAGAGATAAAGTGTTCTAAACAAATATATGTCTCTACACACAAAAGATACATTCACATGCGATGTTGGAAGAATATTTATTTTAATTTTTGTTTACTGTTTGAATGCACTGTCATTTTTGCCAGAAGTAATGTTATTATCACCATTGCCAGACTACCTTCCAAGATAGTGTTTTATCAGATTTTTTTACTATTAGCCTTGCAGCTATCTTAGAATATCAGTATCCATTTGTTTTCTACCACTGGCTCTCAGTGTTCTGGCTCTCAGTGTTCAGAGAAGACAGAGAAGAGAAAAACTGGTTCAGTTAAAAAGGGTTTTCACCTGCTAAGACTTGGTACAATTATTATTTTCCCACTGCTAAGAGATGTGAGATTTTTTCTTTACAAATACAAAATATGTTATATATATTTTCCATGCATACAAAAAAAAAAAAAAAAGCTGAAGTCTCTAAGATGACACTTTACTAAAAAAATAAGACTCCGAAGTCAGCACTCCAAGATGATGATTCAAATAAAAATGCTTATAATGTACACCCAGACTTTTTGAAATGCAGAATTGCCTCCAGGTTCTATACAGATACATACTTAGGAGTGGGGGCTCATATCAGGATAGGGACACATCAGTGTTTACTTGCCGCACAAGTGATGCAGTAGCACATGTACAACATAGCACTCTTTTGGAAATTCAGAATTAAGACTGTTGTAGTGGAAATACTAGCATTTCCATGTATAGTTTCAGGAATGATTTTAAGGATATTCTTACCAATATTTTTTGCAACAAATAACGCTTTGAATAGTGATTTAGTATCAAGTAGCTACAGTGCTCCTTTTGTAATTGCTGGAAACCTAGCTGTACAATAATATAAAACCAAACAATACGTTAAGAATGTAATAATTCAGAGACATACAAAGTAAAGACTGATGACAAGTGAAAATCAAAGATATTCAAGCAGATCTCAGTTGATATCATCTGCTAACATACTAAAAGCCACGGTCCTGATTCTGATTTTATATTATTTTTCCATTTATACCATCAGCAATGAACACAAGGAAACATTTTCACTGATAAAGACTGTAACATGCAAAGAAAATTGCTTAATTTATCAGAATTCTTTCTTGAAATGTATATGGGGATATGAGATGAAGTGCAAAGGCTCACCAACTGGATGTTAGTACAGAGTAGGGAAAGTCCTATAGTTAAAAAGATAGTGGCAGAAAATGTTTTTAACAAGGGACTAGCATAGGGTTAAAGCCAATTTTTTTCTTGAACAGATGATATTTCAGATGGCCACACTATTCCAGATGCATCAATTTCCTTGAAAATCCAATCCATATATGTGCATATGCTGTGCTGGCAGGAGGACTGACTGAAATGGCCAAAACCCAAGAGCTAATATTCTTTTGGCCAGAATAATGCAATTATTATTTTCCTAGCTATCAGTCTAAGCATACAGAGCCATCTGTTATGCAAAGCAAACATACACATCTCAATTACAGAAAATGCAGTTGCCTTGACAGAATTTGGATTACACCACTAACCAGGGCTGTAAAATTTGTTTTAAGCTACCGTATAATGGATGCCTTTCAGGAGTTTCCTAATTAGCATTTACCTGCTTAAACTAATTATCCATCCTTCTTCTTTACTGGCTTGTTAAACTTTGTTGGATACTATGCATAAAACAGATTAATATGAGCATAAGACAATAATAAACATTAAAGTTCTGATTCTTTACTGTATTAGCAACATGGTGGCGCACCGATTTCAAAATCTGAGATTCTCGATACCAATTCCCAAACAGATTAAGCCAGGTATTAAAGTCTATTACAAAACAAGGGACTTTAATGGCAGAAAAAAATACATATATGAGTAAGAAACACCTTTAGCATTTGCTTTGCTAAAACCAACCCAAAATAACAATTACTGAACTTACTAAAACAAATTTCTTGCAATTTCTTTGATGACTTAATGAACATCTATCCTAACTCTCATGACATTTTCTGCACCAAGAGTTAAAATTTCCCATTTCATTACCGTTGGGGTACACCAAAACTAACAGTTATCAGTAATAATACTTGCCTCCTCACAGCAGTATGGATACCAATTTAAAGGAAATAAATATTTATGTTAGATTTTCTTTTTCTCCTCTGAGTGAATGCAATAGAAACAGGTATCTTACCCTGCAAATCATCATGTAAAATCTTTCTTCTGCATTTCTAAATGCAAGTAAAAAGAAGCTATTCTAACAAAAGATTTCTGAATGCAGCGGGATTAGGGCTAAGTACCAGCAAACAACTTTCCCTTCTCTTCCATTCACCCTTTTAATCTTTGAAAAACAGTTGTTAGCAATTACATTTTAAAAATACTGTATTTAATATATTTTCTTCATATTAGTGAACATTTGTGGAAGCAGCAAAACGTGTCCTTGTTGGAACCCTCCCTGCCAGACATTTTAATGGTCTCTTTCAGCATTTCTTGACTCCAAATGACTCCCTGTCATTGTGTCAGCTCCCTAGATAATGCAGGGTACTCCATAAACATCCAGTAATAGGACACAAGGGAAGTACTATTAACGTATCCCTTTCCTATCAGGTATAGAGGTTTAAAGTTCAAAACAACCAAGAAAAGAAACTTGATTTGTTCTCAATAAATTAATAATGATCCGTCATGGCAAAAAGTTTTCAGGCACAAGTGTATCTTATTTGAACGTCCAATACTGATAGACATGTTTTTCAATTACTTCTCAGGATGAACCAGATGCAACTTTAAATAACTAATTAAATAATCCATGCAAAATACAGAAACTAGATTATTAAAATTTCTTTTACAATGAGAAACGGAAGAACACATCACACACAATTATGCTATAGAACTGAAAGCATGTACTTACTTGGGACAGGCCTAAGTAGATGGAGACAGTTTCGGAAATGTACAAAAATTTTCCTTCTTGATTTAGTGCAAATACAAATCCATCCAAGGACTGCAGAGAAAGAAAAGTCTAGTGAATATATTAACTAAAAATGTTAAATCCTAGATAGAAATAGATTCAAACAAAGGTATCACAGAACAAATTGAGGAAAACATTCAGATGTGTGTTTTTAATTTGAATCCTTAAGACCATTCTGTTATAAAATTTATATATTAAAAATCAACACTAGTATATTTCAAAGTTGAAGGACTTACTGTTCTGCTTATATCTGCCATATACTATATAAAGTTATCTCATTTGAATACAGGAAAAATACGGAAAAATGAAATGTTCTTCAATTTTTTTTACAGGAAGAAATACATAAGAAAAACAAATAGCCTTCCAATCAAATGATATGTAAGGAGATCCTCGAATTATTCCCCAGAATAAAAGTAAAATAAAATAAAACTGAAAAACAAAATCTGAAAACAAACAAACAAATGAGAAAAAGAAAATAAAATCCTGCCATCACTCAAACCACTATGGACCTAAATAATTTGTTAATTAATTGAGGATTACACACACACCATTTTCCTTTTGTGAGACAACAAACAAAGCCAATCAGCAGATTACCCTCAAATATGCTTACAGCTTAGGCTATAGAAATGTTATGAATTTCATCCCTTTGGTACAAAACTCTAGACCAGACTTTAGTTTGTCAGGTTGTCTTTGGATGCAGTTTCCATTGCAACTGCAAAAATGCACAGATTAATGCATATCTTTTGAAACATGACTGCAGTTAATAAACAAAGGACTATATTCTAAACTGACATGTAGAGTAAATCACTGTGCATTAAGATGGAAATATACATCTAGGTACACGAGCAAATTTTTCTAGGAATAAATTGCCTTTCAAATACTACATGTGCCTTTAGTTTTATGCTTTTTAGAAGGCTGACTGCTGGCAAAGAAAAAAAATAATACTGCAAGTCTAAAATCACAAAGTTATTGTTTTTATCCTTTTAAATGTAGAACAGTAATTTCTAGTTTTTAATTTCTTTGATTCTTCTCCTTGATTAATTTCCATTGCACTGCTAGTCAGAAATTGTCCTTAGGAAGCACTCACTCCACTCTGATGTAGTAGGTGGTTCAAAAATCAGTGTTTTCTAAAAAAAAATACACCCCATATTGGAAAACAAACCCTTACTGCATTAAAAAGATACTCTAATTTATATTTATGAATTAATAAAAATGTAAATCTGCATAGATTTCCTTCATGTAAAAACATTTACATTCTGCAAACCATTTATGGCCTCTTATAAATCATCATAATTTTTTTTTAAATGATTAACATCAATTCCTTGAATTTTGATGTCAACAACAGGTGGAAAATTTGGAGCAGTGAAGTTCAAACTTGAATCTATACAAGGACAATTAAAACCTTTACACATTTGATCTCCCCAAGTACATATTTCTTCTGTTACTTCCCACTTGCCCTAGCACAGGAAGATCAGAAGAATGGATCTTCAAGGGTCTCAGTATAAGTTGTCCTGATTTTCTGTCTCAGGTTCCCCTGTTTGAGGAAAATGTTTTAATCCCCTGCTAGAAATATAAGAGAAAACTGTCAACCTGATTCCCTGGCCACTCATGTATGTCTTTGCTAAAAAGACTTTCTCCAACAACAACTTGCAGTACTGAATCAGACTAATGTCTACCAGCAGTGGTTGATTTCCCTGGATCCAACAGTCTGCACCCTACTTCAGAACAGCATTTGAAATATCAGTGCCAGTTAGGTAGGTAATGACCAGACTACTAGAAGTTTCTTTCTAGCGTCAGGTTGTAGTCTCCATGGTCATGACAGGTGATATTCCATGTAATTACTCCTACAACTATTGCGCTCAAGATTCTTTTTGAATCAAAATATTTTGTTGGTTGAATAATAACCCATAGAAGGAAATTTCATAGTTTTTTTGTGTATCATTTTTAACATAACCCATTTTTAACATATCCAATATGTGTGATTCCCCTCCTCTTTTACTGGAAAAAGGCTCCATGCACTCAGCACATTTATAATCTGTTCTATTTAGTTTGCTAGATTACTGTGTAATTATCTGGCATATCTGGATAGTGTTTTGGGAGGATAACAAAATGTAATTCTGAGTAATGGCTTTCTTGCTTCTCTTTTAAATAAGTATGATCTTATTTAGGAACTCAGGCCTTTTAATGAAAGAAAAAATTATAGAAAGCTTTCATCACAAAGTAGAAATATTCTGCTCAATGTTGACTTGGAATTGGCTAAAAATAGCTTTGCTGGAAATATAGAAATAAATAAAATCTCAGGTAGGCATGAGAGTAAAAAGAAATTACAACATTTATGGCTGAAGTTTTTAAAGTAACCAGCAACTGGGAAGAGTGCTAAATGCGAAAATTTAACATCTTAAAGCATCTTAAGCTTTTTCACATTACTTCTCCATTTCACCCTTGTCTTTCAGTTAAACAGTTTTAATGCTTGATCCTGTTCTTTTGCTTTCCTTTGGGAAAATATTCCTTACTTTTTACCTCCTAGTTTTACAAGGGAGGTTACTATGGCACCACTGATGGAATGGCAGGGCAAGTGTAGCATACCTACAACTCCTTTAGGCTTCTTGCATATCTAGTCATTTCCATGCCATAAGTAAGACAACTGAGACAACTATGTGGTGGTCATGTATTTTTTCTCTGCTTCCTTTCCCTGCTTCCTGAAGTTATGTTTGAATAAAAATACTGACATAATTCACCACATTTTAAATTGAGCAAAATTCAAAAGATTACTTAATCATATTTTGGAAGAGCCACTGATTAATTGCTAATAGAGCAGCTAACTCAAAGTGCAAATACATTAGAAGTAATAAGCTCAAATCCTCATATCAGAGAAAAATGATCATAAAAATAGTAGAAGAAATGGTCACCTTACAGTGCAAGGCAGTTCCTCCCACCCACACAAAAGGACTGAGATAGACCCCTTTTGTGACAGTGTTGTTGTTCCTTATACAGGTCAAACAGTAGTTCTGAAGGACTGCCTCATTCGTTATTCATAGGTATTATTTATGAATATTTATTATTTAAGTAATGCGTGTTGAAAATTTTCAATTTTTCATAAAGCGATGTCCTTTGTGCATGCCAAGAGAGCAATAGACTTCAGAGAAAGCTGGCAGATAACATAGCAGGGGTCATATTATATACTGAAGAAGAGTATACAGTATCATTGTATCTATTTACAAACAATTTTGTATTAATGAGTAATTTTTGGAAGTATTATTTGTATTACACTTATGTAGCCAAGAAGCCAATAAATATGAGAAAGGTACTGGATTTACTCAGCTTTCAAGTCTCTCTTTTAAACTGAGCAGCACATTGTCATTTCCAGTGGGAATTTCACTGTAGGTCAAAGGCAGATAGGATTTGTGTTTTGGATATTCCACAGTTCCAAGGTTATCAACTATGACGTACAAATAGCACGTGCAAAGGCAACGAGTATTCTGCAAAATGTCCCGTTTTTGTTGAAGGAAAATATCAGTACCTTCTTGAGTTCATTTTGTTTCTATCTTTAAAAGCGAAATTGACTTCCATAAACTTTGTGTTATCCCATTTACTGCAGTGCCTTAAAAATGGTCGGGGTAAACATCCATTCCAATTTTAAGCACAATCACATTTTAAAAAGACCAGTAACTTCTTGTTTAAACCTACACTTACTGCTCATATGCAAAATGTGATTAAAGCTGAATTTCCCCAGTACTTTTATTTCAGAAAACTATTATGTATTATGCTGTTTCAATCACCACAGGCTACTTTTTAATTTTTTTTTTTTAATACTGCCCCACTGTTTTCAACAGGCGCCAATTAAGATTCCAGGGTCAAAGGGTTAATTACATCTTCTTACCCACTATGTAGCATTTTCTGATTATTAACCAAGGTTGGATTAAGATGAAAAAGAACTGACACAAATGTTAATGCTTGCCCCTCCTTGAGAAGATTTATCATAATACCATGCTGAAATCTATATGCTTTTTTCAAAGCTGTTAGAGAAGGAAATCTTAGAGGAAGCACTAAAATAAATGCTTTAAAGACATGGAAGTATCTGATTTATTGAGCCAGTTCTCTTATTCCTGAAAACTGTCCTAAGCCAGAGAGACGGGACTGATAGAAGATTTCCTTTGTCACATATCAGCAAGTCAATGTGGTAGACATGAGGGAAGTGAGACTCAGGTGTAAAAGTCACTAGCTACAGCACCTTTGAATAATAATGCCAATAATTATAATTTATGTCCTTTGACATCAAAATAATACGAAAATGTAAAGCATGGGATTTTTACCCAAAATACTAAGTGGTTTGTACAGTGTTTGTTGAATACTGAGGTTATTTCCTTTCAAGATATGAAACCTACTGTACCAATTTGACCGAATATGTGCTAATGCATAATGCATTGCACTAAATGGATTTATATTTGTCAGAGGAATTTTGTCCCAGCTATTTTTGCATATACCCACTACAGACAAATTTAATTCGCTGGGATGTTAATACAGTGTCCTTCTGGAGAATATCCTCATATTGCGTACTATCCATGCAGTCCTTAATTCCTTCTAGTGTATTCCAGCATCACAAAAAACCCTGTTACCCTGACCTAAACTCCAGTTAGAGTGAAGAATTACCAGTAGGCTAGGTTATTTTAATGATAGATTATTTTAAACTAAGCCTTCACCATCTGTTTCACCCCTAATTATGAATGCAAAAAGAACATATTTCACAATTACATCAGTAAAAAGTAAGATATACATGATTTGAATGCATGCATGCCTTCTTTGTCCAATGCAGCATACATCTGTGATGTTTTTCTTGTATCTCAGGCTCCGATCAGGAGATATGGGCTGGGGAAGGGACTACTTCCCCTGATAAAATAGATGAATTGATATACTAAACTTTTTCCTGGCAAACAGATCATCTTAATTAGAATTTTTCACTGTTGTAATAAAATAATATCATAACTAGAGCTGAGCATTAAAAAGCTTGTCACCAATTAAACATACAACATTCC